ATGATAAAAATCCTCAACAAAGTAGGGTTAGAGGGAATATATTTCAACATAATAAAGGTCATCTGAAAACACAGAGCTGACATCCTACTCAATGGTGAAAACTGAAAGCGTTTCCCTTAAGATCAGGATCAAGAGAAACATGTCCTCACACCACTTTTATTCAACATAGTATTGGAAGTCCTAGCCACAGTAATCAGACAATAAAAAGAAGTAAAGGTCATCCAAATCGGTAAGGAAGAACTAAAACATTCATTATTTGCAGATGGCATGATTCTATGTTTGGAAAACCTTAAAGACTCCATCAAAAAACGACCAGAATTGATAAGTAAATTCAGTAAGCTTGCAGGATACAAAATCAATATACAGAAATCTATCTTATTTCTATGCATTAATAATAAAGTAGCAGAAAGAGAAATTAAGAAAACAATCCCATTTACAATTGCACCCAGAAGAATAAAATACCTGGGAATAAACTTTAACCCAAGAGGTGAATGACTCATACTCTGAAAACTGATGAAAGAAACTGAAATGACACAAAGAAGTGGAAAATATTCTGTGCTCATGGATTGGAAGAACACATATTGTTAAACTGTCGATACTACCCAAAGCAATCTACAGATTTAAGGCAATCCCTATCAAAATATCAACAGCATTTTTCACAGCACTAGAATAAATAATCCTAAAATTTATATGGAACCACAAAAGACCTTTAATAACCAAAGCAATCTTGAAAAACAAAAAACAAAAAACAAAAAACAACCTGGAGGTATCACTATCCCAGACTTCAAGATATACTATAAAACTATAGTAAATCAAAACAGTATGGTACTGGCACAAACACAGACCCGTAAATGAATAAAACAGAATAGAGAGCCCAAAAATGAACCCACGATTATGTGGTCAATTAGTCTACAAAAAAAAGGAGGCAAGAATATGCGATGGGAAAAAGAGAGTTTTTTCCTCATATGGTGTTGGGAAAACTGGACAGCAACATGCAGAAGAATGAAACTAGACCACTTTCTTACAACATACACAAAAATAAACTCCAAATGGATTAATGAACTAAATGTAGACTAGAACTCACAGAAACCCTAGCACAGGGAATAATTTCTTTGACATCAGCTATAGCAACATTTTTCAAGATATGTCTCCCAAAGCAAGGGAAACAAAAGCAAAAATAAAACTATTAGGAGTGTATCAAAATAAAAATCCTCTGCACAGCAAAGTAACCAGTCAAAAAACTAAAAGGCAATCTACTGAATGGGAGAAGATATTTGCAAATGACATATTGGATAAGGGGTTAGTATCCAAAATATATAAAGAGCTTATTCAACTCAACACCATAAAAACAAATAATCCAATTAAAAACCAGGCAGAGGACATGAACAGACATTTCTCCAAAGAAGACACACAGATGGCTTACAGACACTTGAACAGATTGCTCATGTAACCATCAGAGAAATGCAAACCGTCTCACCTGTCAGAATGGCTAACATCAACAACACAAGAAACAGATGTCGGTGAGGATGTGGAGAAAAGGGAACCCTCTTTGACTGATGGTGGGAATGCAAACTAGTGCAGCCACAGTGGAAAACAATATGGAGATTCCTCAAAAAATTAAAACAGAATTACCATGGGATCAGGTAATTCCACTACTGGGCATTTACCCAAAGAATATGAAAACACTAATTCAAAAAGATACATGCCACCCCCATGTTTACTGCAGCAGTATTTACAATAGCCAAATTATGGAAGCAGCCTGAGTATCCACTGATAGATGAATGGATAAAGAAGATGTGGTGTATATCTATAATGGAGTATCATTCAGCCATACAAACGATAAAATCTTGCCATGTGCAACAACATGGATGGATCTAGAGGGTATAATGTTAAGCCAAATAAGTCAGTTGGAGAAAGACAAATAAATACCATAGGATTTCACTCATATGTCGAATTTAAGAAATGAAACAAATGAACAAAGAAAAAGAGAAGACAAACAAAAACAGACGCTTAAATGTAGAGAACTGGTGGTTACCTGAGGGGAGGTTGGTGTGGTGATGGGTGAAATAGATGAAGAGGTTTGAGAGTACTCTTATTGTGATGAGCACTGAGTAATGTACAGAATTGTTGACTCACAATATTGCACACTATTTAAAAATAATAATAGATATATAAATAAAATAAAGAAAAGCTATAAGGGCAAAAGCTAGGATCCAGAGTCTACTAATGTTTCTAAATTTAGTTCCAAACATAACTATGTTGGAATCTTCTGTGTCTCACTGTAATAAACTCAGCATAGTTGCAATATACATATTTTTGTTGAAATACAATAAATAAAAACAAAAACTGATGTATATTGATAAAGAAGATAAAACTAGAATTCACCGTAAAAATCAAATACTCTCAATATCACTAAGTTTTACTATAAGCTTCCAAAAAGAACTTCCAATAAAACAGTCAAAAGAACACAAGAAATTACAGGCACAAGGCCCTAGACAGGAGGAGCACTGTCTAGGACAGTAAAGGACAAATAAAGTAGGAAAAGGACAATAAAGGGCCTGGAAGGGGATACTTTCCAATTTCAGATATGGAACCTAGGGAAAGACTCTTGAGAAGGTGACAGCTGAGTAAATGCCCAGAGAAGATAAGAAAACTGCAGACCATGCAGACACAGGGAGGGGTGGGACAGAGCACCCCAGCACAGGCAGTGGCAAGAATCCAGGCCCCAGGGGGAGAGTTGCATGGTACCTGAGGACCAGGGTGGAGTGTACTATGGCTAGGATGGAATTGCGGAAGGAGACAGAGATGGGAGATGAGGCCTCAAAGCTCGGGATGGGTTTGTGCATGAGGTGAGCAGACACTGGGGCATGGAGCGCCAAAAAGCGGTATGACAACTTGCATATTCATAGCTTTGCTCCTTCAATCATCTTGAAAGAGACAGAAGGAGGGCAAAGAAGGAAGCAGGGAGATGACTTAAGAGACTGCAACAACCCAGAGGAGAATGAGTACCTGGAAATGTCCTGACAGTAGAGGCGGCAAGAAGTCCTGGACCCGTGTGCATTTGGGAGTGGAGCTGCAGAAGGGAGGTTACGAGAAAAAGAAGAGTTGAGGACATGTGCATGTACTCAAGAAGGTGGTTTCCATGTCCTGAGATGGGGAAGGGTGAGGAAGAAGAGGGAGGGTTAGGAGCTTGATTCTGCCACGCCATCAGTACTCAAGTAGAGCCATGGCTGTGGCAGTAAGGGGGCTGTGGGATGCTGCTGTGATGAGGAGGTGGAGAGTGGGCTGCAGACAGTTTTAAGAGGCGTCAGTGATCGGCTAGTATTTACAGCAAAAGATGAAATGGAAGGACCAAAGGGGTGAGTGAGGTAGACAGGGAAGAGAAGAGGTCCAGGATGAGTCTGGTAGCACTTTAGTATTGAGAAGCCAGAGGAATGCACGAGGAGGAGCAAGAGTGAGCACTGTACTACAGGGAGACATGATGGCCACACAAGTAACCACGAGAGGAGCAGCGCGGAGGCGGCTGCAGATGCCGGAGGTGTGGTGTGGAGAGTGCTGGGTGGAGAATGGGGGGCAATTTGGCCACAGTGGGAAGAGGAAGTACCGTCAAGATTAATTAAAAAAATTTTTAACATGGTAGAAAAATAATGGCATGGTTTTAGGATGATGAGAAATTTCAGAAAGAAGAGAATTAAGGGCATTATATTCTCGAGTAAGCCGCAGAGAATGACAGTTGGCCATTACGTTATTCACAATATCCTCAAACTGAAGGCACCTAACTATCTGTCAATAGAAGAACAGATGGATATAATTGCATAAATTAATACAATGGAATACTGTCTAGCAATAAAAATGGACAAACCGTTAAATGCCAAGGAAACTGATGAATCTCACAAGCATAATATTAAGTGAAAATAGTCAGGCAAAAGAGAATGCATATTTTGTGATTACTGTATGGTTCTATTTATATGAAGTTCTCAAACATCTAAAGGAGTCTACTGCATCATAAATCAGGATGATAGTCAACTGGTGTAGGAGGAAAAGAGGGGAAATGAGAGGGGACTGGGGTGGTCCTAGGTGTGCACTGTATTCTATTTCTTGGACTGGACAGCAATTACATAGTCACTTTGTGATTATTTGAAGAAATGTATACTTATAATTTGTATATGACACTGTAGGTGTCTTATACTGTTCAATAAAAGATACATTAAAAAAAACACAACAAAGCAAAATGAAATAAAATAAAATGTAGGTTACCCTATGATATCCATAGACTGTGGAAGAATTTAAGTAAACACTGAGAACTCACTATGGACACAGTGAAAATAGATCCCTCCTCTGGGAAGGAAGTTTTACTTTAAAGACCTGTAAGTCAACTTCAAACCTAAGAATTTGACAGATGAATGAAACTCTTAAAAATGTGCCAACAAAATTAATAGTTAGTTCTTAAAACAAGGCTGCTCAAACATTCTCTCAAAAATAATATGATTTTCTTCTTCTTGTAGTAAAAAATAACACCCTATGGAAAAGAAAGCAAACATGTATCCTTAAAAATATTTCTGACCCATTAATGACCATTTATGCTCCTAAAGATTCAAACCCTATTATGTCTTAATTTATGCTTTTTATCCCTTTCAAAGTAACTAGCAAAGAAATATTAAATTAATGTGTATTATCATACAGTCACATTAATGCCTCTTACTAAAATTGAATTTCTAAGAAAAAAAAGCCATATTTCTTAATATACCACTTAGAGAGGAATATTGATATGATTGTTTCTCCCTTGCCTCTCTGCCCTTAAATTATAAAAAATTTCCTGCCAAAAGTACAAACAAGCATTCAAAGACAGTTCAGTGCTTCTGTTACATAAAATCGATGTCAAATCCTGGCTTCTTTCTCCTGGCATTTCTCCATAATAAGGTGACAAAAATGTTCATCATAAAAATACATTTTGAGACAAACTCAGTTAGTGACTGCTACAATCAGTTCTTTCTACTCACCAGGGAGGGTAAATATGGATGATGTCTTGGGGATGTCCCCTGAGATGGCAAGCAGTCTCCTTGGTGAACAGCACCTTCAGTCCAGTCCTGGGGGCCTGACCTAGAGAAGAGCTGTCGGCTTGCATCCCTGCTAACTGCTCACACATAGCAACTTGGATGGTGCATTCCTCATGCAGCTCTAGAATTTTCACAACTAATATGCCAGACTTTCTACCTAGAAGGTGAAGAAGAAAAAAACAAGCAAAATGAAGTCTAATAAACATAAGGTCCAACTGTGAATAAAATGTCATGAAAAAAAAGAATCACATTAAGATAGCTTTAGGGGCACCCAGGTGGCTCAGTCAGTGAAGCGTTCGGCTTTGGCTCAGGTCATGATCTCACAGTTTGTGAGTTTGAGCCCTGCGTCGGGTTCTGTACTGACAGAGTTTGTCAGGTTCTGTGCTGACAAGTTGGAGCCCGAGGCCTGTTTCAGATTTTTGTGTCTCGGTCTCTCTCTGCCCTTCCCCCACTCTCTCTCTCTCTAAAATAAATAAACTTTAAAAAATTAAAAAAAAAATAAGATAGCTTTCTCCACCTATAGAAAATGGTCTGTATACTTTGCAAAGTAGAGAACAGATAGTAACATACTCGCTGTGACATCTTTTAATTAAAATTTTATTTTAAGCAACATAAAAGATAGTCTTCCATCATAAAGAAACATTTTTGTACACACAGAAAACTTAGAGCCATCATTTCACACAGCATGGTTTTACGCCAAATCTTGAACTCTTCTGATAACCACAACAAGGGAAGTATGGGCACTTATTGATTCTTCTTTCTTATATGCTCCCTCCACCTCATTACCTGCTTTGACTCTACAGGAGACGGGCTGGTTGCAACTGTTCTAATGATCATAAAGGTTAAAGGGGAGGATTTCTGAGGAATGTTGAACGCTAGGGCGCTAGGGCTTGAGATTCAAATGGGTGGAGGGGCGCCTGGGTGGCTCAGTCCATTAAGTGTCTGACTTTGGCTCAGGTCATGATCCGTGGTTTGTGAGTTCGTGTCCCGCATCCGGTTCTGTGCTGACAGCTCAGAGCCTGGAGACTGCTTTGGCTTCTGTGTCTCCCTCTCTAGGTATACCTCCCCCACTCATGCTCTCTCTCTCTCTTTCTCTCTCTCAAAAATAAATAAACATTAAAAAAAATTTTAATGGGTAGAATTTGATCTGAATTTAACTACTGATTAATTAAGGTGGCCAAGGGGCGCCTGGGTGGCTCAGTCGGTTAAGCAGCCGACTTCAGCTCAAGTCATGATCTCGCAGTCTGTGAGTTCGAGCCCCACGTCGGGCTCTGTGCTGACGGCTCAGAGCCTGGAGCCTGTTTCCGATTCTGTGTCTCCCTCTCTCTGACCCTCCCCTGTTCATGCTCTGTCTCTCCCTGTCTCAAAAATAAATAAAACATTAAAAAAAATTTTTTTTAATTAAGTTGGCCAAGTTAGATAACATTTCAACCCCTCCATTTTCCCACGTGTACCTCAAAGAACATTTTTTTTTATTTAAAAAAAAATTTTTTTTAATGTTTATTTATTTTTGAGACAGAGAGAGACAGAGCATGAATGGGGGAGGGGCAGAGAGAGAGGGAGACACAGAATCGGAAGCAGGCTCCAGGCTCCGAGCCATCAGCCCAGAGCCCGACGCGGGGCTCGAACTCACGGACCACGAGACCGTGACCTGAGCTGAAGTCGGACGCTCAACCGACTGAGCCACCCAGGCGCCCCTCAAAGAACATTTTTAAGAATTCAGCGAGAGAACTGAGGTTGACAGTGTATGTAACCTAAAACCCAGATGTGTCCCAGAAACTGCCACAAGCACCAGGAGACCTAAACAAGGATGCATACCTCAGGACTATTTATAAGAGCAGAAAAGTGTACCGAACACAAATCAACAGGAGGAAGGGTAAACCATGCTGTGTTCATACAACAGAACACCATACAGAACTTAACACTAGTGGGCCAGATGTCTATGTATCAGCATGTAGAGATCTCATAAACGAGAGGGGATAAACAAGATATTCAGAGCATGATACGCATAATGTTATTATTTTTGAAACATAGAAAACAATAAATTATTGTTGTAGATATATATGTAATACAAGTATATAAATATGGCCAGCAGGATACATAGAAACACATACCTAAGGAGAAAGAAGAGCATTTCACACTTCATATCGTTTCTATTATTAAAAAATATGGGGGCGCCTGGGTGGCTCAGTTGGTTAAGCGTCCGACTTTGGCTCAGGTAATGATCTCACAGTCCGTGAGTTCCAGCCCCGCATTAGGGTCTATGCCGACAGCTCAGAGCCTGGAGCCGGCTTCGGATTCTGTGTCTCCCTCTCTCTCTGCCCCTGCCCCACTTGCACTTTGCCTCTCTCTCTCAAAAATGAAATAAAAACATAAAAAATTTTTTAATGTGAATCAAAAAAAGACCAAAGATTAAAACACGTATTAATTCTAGGTGGTGAGTACACTTATGTTTTTCTATTTTCTGTTTTTTAATTAAAAAAAATTAAATGAAATAACAAAAGCTAAGTATCTAACATAGTACCTTGCTAATTATATAATAGATACTGATATTAATTTCTTTACCACTTTAGCCAACTGGTTAACAGTGAATAATGAAAATTAATATTTAAATAACATCAAAGTTTTAGTTATATAATTTAATTTCATTTCCATTTCTTTTTCCTCTTCATTTTTCTTCATTTCCCACTCATCCCTAATTTTCCATTCCTTCCTTTCTCTAAGTGTCAGTAACATGTGCTCGCATATTAAGCAAGGCCACATCACTGCTCCAGAGCACTGCCTTCAACTACTGTTTCCTCAGGTATGTACCTATCTTGCTACTATTTCTTAAGGTGAGGAAGGAAACAGAATGGGGGAAGGATGTGAACAAGCACAATGTCAGGCTGGTACTAGTCACTATGGGGGAGGGAAGTGGAGTAATGAAAACAAGTGTTACAGAAAGGCACTAAGTAGGAAGTAAGCATTGCGCCTCCTCTACCATGATAGTTGTTTCTTTAGTAAAACGTAGCTCATCCTCAGTTGGTGAGCAGGAAAACAATTCAGGATAACATAAGACATCACTCTGGTGCACACACCATCTTTCCCATGCAGGGCAGCCAGATCACTGGTTGGAGAATTAGGGTCTTCAGCGGCAAAGGGAAATGCCCTAAGTTTAGGGGCTGCATTAATCACAGGAGCATTTGTGGACATATTTTAAGAATTTTTAAAACTTGGACCTGTGCTCAGAGCTCATCCTCCAAAACTGTGCAGCACGCGTGGCACCTACCCCATCAACCACTGACAACAGTTGCTGTTTGGAGCTCCAGGGCCCATGAGATCAGGTGGCCTGGCTCTGTGTGGCTGAGTGTCTGCCATGGCACCCTCCAGCCACGCTCAGTGGCTCGCCTGAGCAACCTGAGTTTTCTCCTCAGGCACTAATTATTGTCTTGTGTGGCTCTAAAAGTGAGATAGGTTTTCAGTAGTCTGCCAAACTCTATAGTCCCTATAAACCTCCAACAGATTTTATAAAGGCAAGACATTACAGAAACACACAGTTATTACCCCCAGGAATACTTACATATCTGAGATGAATCATATTGCTACTAACCACACTCTCTTTGAAGATTTTTATGATAAATCCTGACAATATTCCTAAAACTATGATTTCTGCTGAAGATTTGGAGCACTAAATGACTTGTAAAATAAACATGTTTCACGGTATTGGCTATCACCACAGCCCGTGCGCTGCAGCAGCACAGAATAAACATACATATATATATATATATATATATATATATATATATACCCACTTTTATTTTAGAGAGAGAAAGAGTGCATGAGTGGAGGAGAGGGGCAGAGGGAGAGAGAGAATTAAGCAGCTTCCATGCTCAGTGTGCAGCCTGATGCAAGGTTCAATCCTACAACCCTGGTATCATGACCTGAGCCACAATCAAGAGTAGGATGCTCAACCAACTGAGCCACCCCAAGAGTAAACACACTCAATGGTACTACCACCACAGCCCTGGTGTACTGTGGATGGAATAAAAACGTGTTGCACGGTATCACTATTACCACAGCCACGGTACACTGCAGTATAGACAAAATAGAAAAAACATGCCTTATGGGACCACCAACAGAACCCTGGTGCACTGCAATGTAGAACAAACATGCCAGATGCTATTGACGATCACTCTTGTGCACTGCAGCATAACAGCACTGACTGTCACCCAAATCCTGGTGCACTCCAACAGACTTGGTGACTTACATACAGGCTTGGTGAAGATGGTGATCAGTGCCATCCTGGATGTACTACGGGGCTCCAATGTTCTCCAAGAAGCACTCTCAAGTCTCTCATATGGAACACTGTCCAATACAGTTTTAGGGACACACCAGCAGCCTACCCTCCCTCAAGAAAATAAGGCAGTGTAATTTCCTCTTTGTGTGAGAGATAAAAAAGCAAAAAGCAACCTAGGACAAATGGTGAATTTGAAACAAGCTTTAAATCTGGGCATAAGAGATACTGGTTTTACAAACAAAGATTATTTTGTAATTAAATGGATGATACATAAAAGGCATTTCTGTGCTGGCAAAGCAAAATTTTCCAAAAATTTGTGAGTCTCAGCCAAAATATAACCTTGTCCAGGAAGGGTTTACTGAATCCCAGCCAGAAGCAACTACTCCTTCCCTTTTGAAATCCTCAAATACCTTATTTATACCTACCTTCTTTTTAACAGTGTCCTCATTTTTTTTCATGTTTATTTATTTATTTTTAAGAGAAAGAGAGAGAGAGAGAGAGAGCACACAAGTGGAAGAGGGGCAGAGAAAGGGAGGCAGAGAATCCTAAGCAGGCTCTGCGCTGCCAGCACAGAGCTCGATGCAGGGCTTGAACCCATGAACCAAGAGATCACAACCTGAGCCGAAGTCAGACACCCAACACTATCTTCATTTTTAAATAGAGACAGTATTATCCATCCTCAAGAACACTGCAAATATTGAAGAGGGAACACAGAAAGACCACAGTGCAGGGTCTAGTCCATCACACATGAAACAACAGCAGCCACTGTCACCATGGTCACTGTCATTGTTACTAACTTTTTCCAAGGCATTTTCAAATCTGTTATCATACTTGACCTACAACAACCCTATGAAATAGGTAAGGAAGATATTAATCTCCAT